TTCTCAGTTAAAAAAAAAATTGTATTCTCACTTGTGGTGAGAAATTGTTTAAACATCAGAAAAAGAAATATCTACAAGAACATTTATAAAAGAATAATAACGATAAAAAAACGAAGTATGTGAAACCAGCTGAAGAAGATGCCCTTACACTGTACCCAAACATTTACAAGTACATACCATTAATCAAGTAATCAGCTTCATTAGAGTTCAGGGGTTTTCCCCTCCGTAGCTTTCTCTTCATATTCCTGTATTTACAGCCAACAAAGAGCAGTAGTAATGCCATAACAGTAAGTCCCAAGGACAGTGCCAGTATGGGTCCCTGCCTACTGGAGGCAGCCTGTTCTTCTTCCTCAGTGACCTGATTCAGGAGATCAACTGAGGAATTGGGTGTTATCACCTGGTTGGATGGTTGATCTGGTTGGTGTTCTGTTGCTGGTTGTTTTGAACTCGACTCGTCTCCTGGTTTCACTTCCTCAGAGGTCGCAGGACTGGGCGAAGTTGGAACTGTAACTGCTGGAGTTTCTTGCCCTTTGCTGTCACCATCATTAACAACTCTCTGGGGCATTTCTGTAGGACCTGTTGTATAAACATGAGGATTTGGATCTATATCTTTCCTAATAGAGCAAGATGGTAATATAACATATTCAGATCAATGACACCATATTACCTCATAAAACTCCAAATATGTATCTTTTTTTTAAATCACAATAATAAATCTTGAAAAGATAAAGGTTTACTGACCTGTGTCCTCTTTATCATCTTTCACTTTCTCCTCTTTGGAATCTTCAACCTCGTCTTCTTTCTTGGGCTCTGTTTTTGCAAAAGGTAATGAGCAACATACAATGGTTCCAGTAAAGGTAACATTTGAATTTTCATTCATTTGGCCAATTTTGCAAATGAAATTGGAATATTAACTGAATACAGAAAATGAAATAAACGAAAACAGACAACCTTCATAACATGATTTCACTCAACCATAATGCCATTCATGATAATGTGTTGATCAATATAAAGCAAGTAACTGACTCATTACTCCATTTCCTAATAATTGTCTGTTTACCTGGAGTTGGAGTGGGTTCCTTCTCCTCTTTTCCTCCATTCTCTTGTTCTACAAACAGAAATAACATACTGTTCAACCAAACTGTATCTTACAATTGTATGCAGTTTTTTTAGAGTCAAAATAAAAACAAATGGATAGCCACATACTAGTACTATTAGTAAACATTTGAAAAAATACTGTGGTTATCCACCAGTTTTGATTATGTGTATCGGTGTTGCATATAAAAAGATGCAGCATCTATGTAAAGACATAATTGTGCAAGTGATGCAAATAATTAAATGAAGTTAAACATATCAAATCATTAGCAAAATACCAAGCATTAAGTTTAACCTGTAATGAGGTAATCTTTACTTTCAATATATTTCAACTCCTCCACCAAGTATGCTTTTTCAATTTTAACATTGCACTATCTGACTACTACTAGCAAAAATTTGAACTGCTTTACTGAGGATTTTGGAAATTTCAACTAATATTAAATAGGCCAAAATATACCAGAAGCTCCTTCTAAACCCACACCCATGAACACTGCACATTACAACAATTTAGCATTCAATTAATAAGTATTAAGCAGACTCAATGCAATTCCATGTTCCTACATCTATATCAGTGTTTGAAATTTGATCCCAACATATAGAAAACCAGTCCAATCAATGGTGCATCTTTGAACTGGTGAAGTTGTTGTATTGTGCAACATGTCCCAGAGAAAAATACAGAAATGTAACTAACACCTATACAATAGACAACCTAGCTAGTCTAAAGATCTAGTTGCATTTCTGTAGGACAGTTAGTGAAGCATGAATTAGTACCAAGCCATGTTCTGTAGGGGAACTGGTAGACTGGTTTAGCGTGGTCATTAAACAAGGAGTTTCTAAAGTAACCTAAATAATAAAATACAAAACAAAATGGTAAATTAATGAAAGATGAAAATTAATGTCGTTTGCATCAAGCACATGTTAAAAGACTTAATATACTGGATTTGATCACCCTTTCAAATTCGGTCTGCCTTTCAACACAAAGGGGAAGAAGCGTTCTCTTTGCTTCTCTTTTATTCTCTTTTTCCACAATGTCATGCACTTGGCCAATAAGGAAATCAAGTTTAAACCACATATTACAGTATTTGAGTCAATATAAAAACACATGCTTTCAACAAATTTCACTCCACCCTCATTATAAACTAAAAACTGTGCTAAAAACTTTTTTATAAGATGAAAGAAAACTCATCATTATACACTAAATCAAAGCACTGAATAAAATACTCATCAGGAAGATCATGATAAAAGTACCATTCTTATTAAATCTACTTCTTTATCTTACATTTTATAAACTGAATAAGGTAGATTAATGTTTAACAAAAAAGGAAATTAAATACTGCCATGCATAATATAAATATGTAAAGATGTAGACTGAATATTTTTCAAAAAATAAATACTGGGGTTTCAGAAAGATATGAGATATGTACGAATATTGCAAGACCCTTGTCCAGATATCATGCCTTGACATATAAAAAGGCATTTATTGCCATAACCAAACATAAATCAATAAATAAAAAAGTATTAAAAATAAAATAAGTAAAATAGCACCCTAACATAGACAAGCAGAGAATAATATTTGTAACTAAGGTAACAGTATATACAACATCATAATTTGAAAGATGATAGTAGGGTGATTTAAGCCAATAACACAATACAATATAACAATAAAAACTGGACATGCCATTATGTAAGTTCATCATGGTCAAAGATTCAAAGATACATCAAAATGAATCATGATTATAAGGCATGCAAATAAAAAACAAACAACAAGTCAATGGATACTACACAAGGCATACGAGAAAAAGAAAAATGAGCCTAAATACCAACAAAAATCATATGTACACAACTGTAAGAATAAACCATGCACCATCAAGCTGACCTGAATCCCCAAGACCTTTGTGCTCCCATATGTCCTTTCCAGCATTTGTCTGTTTATCATGGGAGCCACCATAGTCATAGTCAAACCCTGTGCCATGGACTTTGTAATTCTCTAAAGCAGCATCATTGGGGTCCACGTAGCTGTCACTAACATCTGAGTTCACTTTGCCATATCTTCCATAATTATTATACAGTTTTTCATCAAAAGTATTTTTTCCCTTGTATTTTTGGTGATTTCCTTGTTGTTCTCTTCCATAGCCACCATAACCTTCATCATTTCTATTATCTTCTTTCACTGGACCATACCTGCCATCATACCTATTGTCATATCTTGATCTGTAGGGGTAGTCACTATCAAAAAGCCTATAGTCTCTATAACCATTGTAATTGTGGTATGACCCTTGGCGAGTTGGCTGATCACCATCCTTATTCCTGTCCCTATCTAAGTAGTACTGGTCTGGTTCTGGATATAGGACAATTTTATCAGCAGGTGCCCTGTTGTCATGGGGAGTAGGCTTGCTGCCTGAGCTGTGACCAACAGGTGGTTTGACATGGTGGTACCGAGAGTTGGGATCTTCACTTGGCCTGCTATTTTGCTGTGGGTAAAAACCATCACTAGCAAGCTTCCCTTCATTTTCTTGTGGCTTAGACTCCTGCCTGGTCTCCCCTGACTGGCCTTTCTTCCCTCCAACTTTATGATGTTGTGGTATTCTGGCAGGGGGGTCTTCATGGGTAGGGGGGATTTCATGGGCTGAGGGGTATTGATGGGCGTAAGGGATATCATGAACAGGGGTGACATCATGGACAGGAGGGGGGTATTTAGAGGGGGCCTCCTCATTGGCATCACCTGATAGCTGTGACAAGTCTATATGCTCATTTCTTGCCAGGGCAGGCTCTGTGGTGGCTGGGGCTGTTGACATTGGAGTAGGCTCAGTGGGTGCTATATCTACTATGATGGATTTGCCAACTTCACCTTCGGATTCAGATTGTGGTTTATGTCTGCTCAAGCCAAGATCAGTGAGGGTGTCTTCATTCGACTGCCCCTGGGTGAAATCATACATCTGGGCATGCTGTGCACTGTGAGTCTTCTCCTTCTGTTGGAGATGCTTCAGGTCTGCGTGCTGCTGGAGCTCTTCTTGTTGGCTTTCTGTTTCAGCAGTTGATCCCACACTAACACCATCACTCTTTCTCCCTCCACCACCACCACCATCACCATCACTACTGGAGTCCCCCTCACCATAACCAGTACCCCAGTACCCATGGTTTCTGTAGTAATACTGATCCCCAGCCCCATCTCTGTTAGGACTCCCATACACCTTCCTATACCCATCACTACTGTCACCATTGTCTTCATCACCTGAGTTACTGGGATAGTATCCATGCTGGTTTGAACCATGCTGGTTAGTATGATACCCATGCCCGTTTTTGTTTCCTGAGTGTATACTTGACATCTTATTATTATGCTCTAATGATAAAACAGGTTTGAATGAGTGTTAGTAATATGGTATTTTAAGCAGGTTTAAGAATTATATTGACAATGCATACTATTGGAATATTAATTTTCAAATATAAAAAGATCAAAGGATGAACTATACAAGGCTTTGCCATAGTTAATAAAAACTACATATAATTGTTTTGTGTCTACACTGAAAAACCTCATGTAATCTTGGTCTTGAAATGAAATAAATATCTTAGACCATAATTGCAATTTCAATAATGAAAAGTAAGTAGTTACCATCATTCAAGCTACTTTAAAACTGTTATTGATGTGAAACATGAGGCTACAGCACACCTGTATCCACTTCAATCAAACAATGAAGAAAATGGGTGGATTAAATGTAAATCTTTCAATGTTGGTTTCTTCTAAATCTGTAGCTCTTGGCCTAGAATCTCAGAGCACTGAAACATATAGGTTGGATTTATAACTTATATATAATAGTTAATAAATAGCAGACTGTACTTTACCTTTAGGGTTACAATTCTCCTCATCTGAACCATCAGGGCACTGTGCTATCCCATCACAGCGGTCATACTTGGCAATGCAGTTTTCGCCAACATAAGAAGCTTTCCCATTGGTGCATTCCCATTGGAAATTTGGGTCACAGTCACGCCCTAAAGTAATAATTTAAAGAAATCATGAAGACATACAAAAATGATAATGACTAATATAATTTACTCTTACAATTCTTCTGTAAATTCAGAAAAGCATGCTTGCAGAAAAGAATGGAAGTTATACATAAAACTGCCCTAGGCTATCCTCTTTGACCAAACAAGTTATTTCAGTGTGTTATAATCTATTGGAAGGCTCATTTCAAGAGTCGTCCATTCAACTTATCATTCATATTTTGCAGTGTACAGACAGAGAGATGCAATACTTGACAGAACTTCTTTGGCTGATATTCCCCAAGGGAACATTGCATCAAAATTGTCTCAAATTCTTTATCTGCTTGAATAAGTATATACTGACATGCCTAATTTAAGATACTGAAGGTGTTTGCCATTTTAACAACACCCCTCCTGAGCTTGAAACACAATTAAGTAGAAAACAGGCAGATATCATGCTAACCCAGACACATTCCTCATGTGAAGTTTAGACCCATTAAGCATTGATCATACATTCAGCAATAAATAATTAAGTCCCAGAAGTTGCTAATTACTTTTTCCTCTCTATATTAAAAAGAACTATAGACAGGCAAGCAGTCTTATATGATGTATTTTTACAAAGAGGTTTTCTACCCATGTGAAATGACTAAGGTACCATGAATACAAACTCCCAGGAGTGTAAGACAGGTCAAATCAATCACACAGAAGTTCCAGTTTATATAGCCAATGCACCAAATTAAGGACATATAAATCAATATTTCAATTATATAATCCAGTTAATATTTTTTCTCATTGCCTATTGGGGGCACTAAGAGATTGAAAATGGAAAGCTAATTCATGTCACTGACATAGCAAAATAAAACACTCTTGAATCAACTTACTGCAAACTCCATTTTTGGCATGATATCCACCCATACACTGACAGAAGTTGTCTTTGCAATGGGAATGGGCTGTCTCACAGATATTTTCTTCAGCAGAGCACAAGTTTAGGAGTGGTACTGAAAAACACACCATTTTATAGAGAATATAATTCTGTCTGAACAAATTTTGGCATGCACAAAGTTTTACCAAACAACTGTATGTTTGACTAATTTTTTCAAATGCATTTTTGATGTTTTGCTGACTATTCCAGCTTATCAGCAGGACTTAACTAGTGCGAATGTCATTCCATGAATTTATGATTCAGCAAATATATCACATTCATATACCTCATTAATGACAAAGAAATTTAAATAAATATTCATGTACTTAAATAGCCTCCTCTTTTGTCCAATTTTTAAGTTTACATGAAAAGGTTTATAAAATGTTATACTTTAATTAATGCTTTCGATGTGCTGTTTACTGTAATCCTTCAATCTTTTTGAAAAAAAAAGNAT